TGGTGGTTGCTTCAGTGGGGCTTTGGTGCTCACTGAGTCTGCCCCTTGAGTGTGTCACTTATGGATGTGAAAAGTTGTAATCTGTTATGGTCTCACACTGTCCATTGGGTACAGTGGTTCTTGGAACGCCAAGGAGGTAAAAGTCAGCCATTGCCTGGGGCCACCCAGCAGGAGCTAGAGAGAGATCTGCAGATTTCTCCTCTTTGTATCAGGTTTGAAAGTGCCCAGAGGAGACCCAGCTGTGAAGCAAGGCAGGCTGGTGCTGGTCCTGGCCTTGGGCTTTTATTAACCCTTTGAGTGCCAACCAATATCCTAGGAACTATGCTAAAATTGCCAAGGCATTTTTGCTGATTTTACAGCAGTTTAGGAAAAAAATTATGAATCGCAAATAAATGAAGTTACATATTCAAAAACTTAAGGAAAACTTTACTACATTTGTTTTTATCTTTGATATATATTGTTTGCTGATTGTATTATAAAATACTAGTAGAAAAAAATTGGAACAAAACATATAATGTTAAAAGAGGGAGACCCTTCTCCAATATCTTCCACAAAAATCTTCACAGCAAGAATTGACATATTTAGCAATATCATTATCACTAATAAAAGCAGAATTAGAACTGGAAGCCATTTCAAAGCTTTAGGGCTACAAAATCTGAGTAAACTTCATAAAATCATAGTACCTGTAAAAAATTAGGCAGATAAATGTCAGTGATCAATTTTAGAACTGCAAACATTCTGCATCATAAGTAACCTGCACTTAGGTGCCATCTGTCAATAAAGAGTGAACTACTAGCATCTAATAGTGACATGGTAGGAGGAGTGCGATAGCGCTCCTGGCACTTTTGATGAAAGACAGGAGGAGTGCGATCGTGCTCCCCGGCACTCTAGGGGTTAACAGCTTTAGGGCTCCCTGATCCAGCTGCAGCTTGACAGCTTTTAGGCTGAGAAAGGACAGTCCATTTAATGCAAAAGTCACTGCAAACAGCTTGGGTGGGTGGGGTTGTAAATTGGGTAGGGCAGGGTCTCAGGGAATCTCCAGGGTGAAGCCAACAGAAATGTCTGCCAGTCAGCCCTGCACAGGGAGGTCCCAACACAGCAACAATGACCAATGTGAATACCTCCATCTGGAAGAAAGTCACCCCCGCGTTTCTGCCCTGAAGCCAGACAGTCCAGTTTCTCCCTGTATCTGTCTAGGTCCCCCAGAGCCTCGCCTGGCACTGGAGCTCAGAGCAAGCAGGAGCATGTGAATTCAGTTCGCAGTGCTGGCCTTTTAATAGTAGTAGCTTGTTCTCTAGCAGCCTGTGTTTCACTTAGCCCCAATCCGCACTGGTTTTTACAGCCCAGAGACTTCTTTCCCCAGCTCTGGGACCCTGGGCTGGGGGGCTGGTGTGGGACTGGGACTCCTTGCTCCTCCAGGCTGCCTCCAAAGAGGTGATCTCCCTCCCAACTAAAAAAGCAGCAAACCCGGGTGCCGGACCAGCCTCCGCACCTCCTACCAGTCTGTGTGCTTTCTTCTTTACCTCTCTAGTATTAGTACTTCCACTCAGCCAGCTTTCCCACGGTTCTGGATGATAGTTGTGAATTATAGTTGTAATTTTGATGTGGTTATGGGAGGCAGCAAGTACAGGCATTTACCTATGCCGCCATCTTGGTTCCTTTTTTTAAAAAATGTTTTATTCATTTTAAAGGGAGAGGAAGGGAGGAGGAGAGATAGAAATATCGATCATGCCTCTTACTGGAGATCGAGCCCTCAATGTGTACATATGCCCTGAAATGGAATCCAACTGGTAACCTCTTAGGGATTGGGATGATGCTCAACCAACTGAGTCACAGTGGCCAGGGCAAGATCTTCATTTCTAAAGGACACCCAGGTGATGCCAATAACACTGTTCTTTGGACCAACTTCAATAGCCAGAGCCTACAGAACAATTATGTCCCAACATGTTCTGGTCAAATAAGGTTGAGAACACTCAAATAAAACAAGTTGTTCTTCTAAAAAACTTTTATTAAACTCCATGAAAATTACATACAATATTTTCAAACTTTCTTGATTTCTTGTTTTCAAAGAGCATTCCCTAGGATTAGTGTCTGTGAAACATACTGGAGCATACAGGATCAGGCAAGGTGAAAGCAGTCAGGGGAAGTCAGAGAAGGCCACCAATTTGGAAGTCTCCTCCTTTCCCCCATTCTTCCAAACAGATACCTCAACTTCCACTTTTAAATGCTAATATCTATGTGTAAAAAGACAGAAAATAAACACATTAAACACAACAAAATAGCTATCTCTGGCTGGAGATATTATGACTAGGGGCCCTGTGCACGATTTCGTGCACCTTGAAAGGACCTGTGGGCCATGAGGCTGTGGTGGGCACAGGGGTGGGTCTCAGCCCATCCTCCACGCTCCCGCCAGGCCTCTCCCGCCTCAGCCCCCCAGTTCTCTGTCTGCCAGCAGTGCCGCTGCTGCCACTCCCATGCGCTGACAGCTCTAGCCCCACTCACACCTGCTGACAGCGCAGAGCAATTGAGGCCAGCACCAGCTGTGGGTGGAAGTGGGACCGGTACCGTCAGTGGGTGCAAGCGGTGGCTACTGCACCAACCGCCCCTCAGGAGCAGGGGGAGATGGACAAGCGCTCGGGGGTGATCGGGGCTGGCAGCTGCTGCTCGCACCAACAGTGCTGAGCAATTGGGACCAGTGCTGGGCGCCAGCAGCAGGTGGAAGCGGCAGCTCTGATGCTGGCAGCGGGTGCGAGTGGGGTCGTTGCACGCAGCAGATGTGAGAGGTGGCTGCTGGCCCCGATCACCCCTCAGAAGCAGGGGGAGGTGGAGAAGCCCTGAGGGGCGATCGGGGGCGGCAACCACAGCTTGCACCCGATGACAGCACTGAGCAATTGAGGCCAGTGCCAGGTACCAGCAGTTCGGATGTGAGCGTCGGGCAGGACCATGGCACATGGGAGCAAAGGATTTTCAGTAACCACCAGAGGTTTGCTCCAATGACAGCGACCGGTGCCCTGCCTTGGCCGGGCGCCTCTGCTCACCTGCTCCACCATCCCACTGCGGCCAACACCTGCCATGTTCGGCACTCTGCCACCTGCTGCTGACGCCTGCCACGGTCTGCGTGCGCCCCCTGGTAGTCAGCGCACGTCATAGCAACCGGTTGTCCGATTATTCCGCAGTTTGGTCTATTTGCATATTAGTCTTTTATTATATAGGATGGTGGACATTCCTACTTTCCTCATTAGACTTCTTCATTCTTTTATTATCTTCAATGAGCATGTAATGCTTTTGTAATCAGAATTATCTTAAGGAAAAAACGCTACCAACCATGCTCACTTTTATTTACATTCACATTTGAATGAATTACTTTATTCAGATTACTTTATTAAGCAGGAAAGATTTTTCTAGCAAAGAGAGCTACAAGAGAAGAAAATAAAGAAATCAGAACATTTTTTAAATGTTAAAATTAATTTTAGAGAGAAAGGAAGGGAAAGGATAGAGACAGAAACAGCGATTAGAAAGAAACATTGATTGGCTGACTCCTGCATGCCCCTTACGGGGATCAAGCTCACAACTTGGGCATGTGCACTGACCAGGAAAGGAATCATGTGCTCCTGGTTCATGGGTCGATGCTCAATGACTGAGCCACACCAGCCAGGCAGGAATCAGAACATTTTAGGATGTAGGCTAGAAATGAACATTGGTGAGATTTTGGGCCTTAGGGGAACAAAAGATAAATAGCAAAAAGGGATGGAAAAAGACAAAGACCAAAACAAATTTGCCTACTCTGCAGATGCACCTGGAGCTGTAAAAACTTTTTATCATACGTGCACATTCATATATACATATATAATCAAATTGGTTATTAATTATACTATTAGTGATCCTTATTATTTATATCATACATAAAAGGGGAAATAATATTTACTGGGATTGTTCTAAGAAATACTACAATATCAAAGAAGACAAGATACACAGCACAATAAATGCTACTATAAAAGACAACAAAATGAAGTTTGTTAAGATTTGTACTTCAACTACACCAAGCCTATCAACAATAAAATGGTCAAATAACTGTGAATGGAATGTTAGCCAGCAATAAAAAGGAATGAAAACATAGATATTTGTTAACATAGGGAAAATAACTGATAGTACTTTGTTCTTCATTCATTATAATGCTAGCCCAGATTTTAACATAAGTTATTATATTAGTTGTAAGTAATAGGTTTAGTGTTAGAAGTTATCCAGTTATACAACACTAGATCTAGATATAATGAAATTTACAAGAAATCATTATGAAGTTAACTTGCCAACACATTTAAATGCTACCATGGCTAGATAATAAAAAGAACTGGAAATGCAAATACCTGAATCTGACTCTAATTAGTTAGTGAACTCGAACAAATCACAATCTTTCCAGGCTTCTTTCTTACCTGTCAAAGGATGCAAGGCCAGAGCCATGAGTTCCAACAAATAGTAAAGACCAAACCCAGTAGATTGCTATATGTTGCCTAGCAGTTCTCTAAGACAATACCACAACAAGAATACTCCAAACTGAGCTGAAAATCCTAACCAAGGAAGGTTTGCAAACAATAGTGGCCTCAACCCATTTCAAAAGTTTTAATGCAAACATCTGTACCTGAATCCCCTCAGGATCTTCCCTCTGAAGACTATCTTACCACTTTACCATTAAGGTTTCAAGTAATAAAAACTAGCCTGTCTCAAGAAATGACTAAATATTATGAAAGCTCTTGAAAAGTTCCTTCCAGCTCTGAAATTCTCTCAATCTCTCTCACAACCCCTTCAAAGAACTTAATACATATATGCATAAACAATGGACACAAACAATAGTGTGGTGAAGGCCTGGTTGGGGGGCGGGGAGGAGGCTGGGAGGAGGGAGGTAAAGGAGGAGTAAATATTATATTGGAAGACATCTGTAATACTGGCAACAATTAAATTAAATTAAATTAAATGGGGGGGTAGAGATTTTAACAAACATGAAAGTCAATAAACAAAGACATTGTAGGTGTTCAATATTTATTAAATGAATAATTTACAAAGTCATTATGACATTTTTATGCACTTGTAATACCAGTAAAATTACAACCTATAAAAGATGAATATTTAAGGTCAAAATGTCTTTCAAAACAAAACAAAAACTAACATTTCATTAAATCCTTGAGTAAAACTTGATACCCCAGAGAATGCTAATCTTTCTACCAAAGTATGCTGGCCCTGTATCTAATATTGAAGGAAAGAGGAGTAAGCAAAGAAACCTTTCGCCCAAACAGGATTGTTTTATAAACCTGTTTATCAGAGATGGAAGGGTGAAAAGATCAACGAGTCAAAACAACCTGATTCTCAATCTGGGTTCTAACACTAAACTGTGATGAGATGACCATATTCCTTTCCTCCATGTATGGTGGTTTGATGAGCAAATGGAAGGACATATAGGAAAGAATTCTGAATACAGTACAGCACTACATAAATGAAATTTAAAGATATTGCTTTTACTGAATTCCTACCCCCACCCCACAAATCACCAATAGTACAAAAAAATTAATTTTGCAATAATAAATTAGCATTCTTTAGCATTTTTAAATTTATTTTATTTTTTTTAGAGAGAGAAAAACATTGATGTGAAAGACAAACATCAATTGGTTGTCTCTGACACGTGCCCCAAAGACCAAACCCAAAACCTGGGTATGTGCCCTGACTGGGAATCGAACCCACAACCTTTTGGTGCCAGGGACGAAGCTCCAACCAACTGAGCCACACTGGCCACGACCATATATTATATGCTTACAAATACATACTTAACAGTAATGGCTACCATTTAGTGAACATTTACTATGTAAAAGTCACTGTGTAAAGAGCTTTACAGAAATTAGCTCATTAAAGCTTCTCAGCAATGCTTTTGAAAGAAAAACAAAAAACCTGAGTAGCATTGCCAATATAACCAATAAGATAGCTGAAGAAATACAGATTAAATTTAATAATGTACTATTACAAAATTATTTTAGTCTCAAAAAAGGTAGTTTCTGGGATGAGTAAAAACTAAATATATTTAAATTTAACAGTCTATGCCCTAAATGGTTTGGCTCAGTGGATAGAGCGTCAGCCTGCGAACTGAAAGGTCCCAGGTTCGATTCCGGTCAAGGGCATGTACCTTGGTTGCGGGCACATCCCCAGTAGGGGGTGTGTAGGAGGCAGCTGATCAATGTTTCTCTCTCATCGATGTTTCTAACTCTCTATCCCTCTCCCTTTCTCTCTGTAAAAAAATCAATAAAATTTAAATAAATAAATAAATAAATAAATTTAAAGTCTATAATATCCTATGTAAATTTGTCATCAGCAAGTAATCATTTTAGTCTTCTAAAATCTTCAATTATATAACAACTATAATTTTAAAAACAGTTTCTTTTAAAAACATACACATCTACACACACACACACACACACATATACATGTACAAAGAGATAAAGAGAAGGTTTTGCCTAGTAATGAAGTGGCAGCTTCATTTGGCTAAAATTTCTTGAGACAAGTAATCCAACAAATTAGAAATTGGCCATGATGTTAAAGCACATTTTAGCTTAAGTGCTTATTAATAATGGCCACAGCAATAACTGATTTCATACTTAACTTGAGCACAGGACTTCTCAAAAAACTAGGACTGTGTTGGAAAACTAATTTAAATTATTTCTGTTTACTCCCTAGTGATATCTTCTTTGCTAGAATTCAAATTCTCAGAGAGCTGGAACTGAGTCTCTCATCCACAATTCTATAGTTCAGGCATAATTCCTGGCATATGGTAGGTGTCTAATAAGCATTTACAGAATTATAGAATTTTTTTACTTCTATTTATTTCTGATAGTTCACACATGTATGCAGGAGGTCCTCTCCAAATTATGACTTATACAACCCATTTCAAAATTCCAACTTTTTTCAAACCTTATTTAAAATAAATAAAATTTCCTTTTTAATACCTGTTCCTCTTTTACCAAACCTTTATTGAACATATTACTTCCCAGGTACTTTGTCAAACATTTTCAAAAAAGATCTTGAAAAACTCATTTCCTTAGAAACTGATAGCATAACAAGGGAGTAAATGCATATATGTAACAGAATTATAGTATGCTGAATGATATAATAAAGGTAAACACCACAAATTAATTTTGAGGGACTATTTGGATCCTAGAAAGAGAACATGGTTACTCTCATAACATTAACCCAAGAGCCATCCTCCCTTCTCTGATTAGCGTGTCCTCTGAAAAAAAATACTCAGCTTCCGGAGAAAGCATGAATCAGTGCTGGATTTATGAGAAAATGCTAAAGCTAGACGGAGTACAGAATGAGATATGCACAAAAGACACACAAAAGAAGGCAAGTTTGGGATGTGACTAGATAGGAGAATATCAGAGGAAATAGACACATGAGCTAGATCTTTTTTTTCTCTCTCTCTCTTTCTTTTTAAATATATTTTTTATTGATATCAGAGAGGAAGGGAAAGGGAAAAACAGATAGAAACATCAATGATGAGAGAGAATCATTGATCGGCTGCCTCCCCTACGCCCCCTACTGGGAATCAAGCCTGCAACCTGAGCATGTGCCCTTGACCAGAATTGAACCCGGGACCCTTCAAGTCCGCAGGCTGACACTCTATTCACTGAGCCAAACCGGCTAGGGCATGGGCTGGGTCTTGAAGTATAGTTAACTAGGCAGGCAAAATGATAACGAAATTTTAGAAAGATATCAGTGACTAATCCTGTTAGTCTGACTATGAACAACTAGATGCAGTAAAAAGTACAAGATGAAGGAAAATTCCATTATTTTCTTCATGTCTATCAATTTCTATACTTGTTAGGTGTCTGCTAATTTGTATAATTTATCTTAAAAGCAGTAAGTTCACATATAAATGAAGATTAGTTCAATTTAATAATTAAATTTAATTTGTTCCATTAATTTAAAACTCAGTAGTTCAAAGAAATGCACTATATGAATTCTAAATTGTTTTTCAATGAAACAATTTCAAATAGCATAAATTTCTATTTAGTTTTAGCATATTTTATTTTTTGATAGATCCTCAATGTCAACCATCTTAACTTTAAAAGTCATTCAACAGAGATCTTATAATTTAGTTGAGAAATATGTTTTATAATATGCTATGCTCTTTCATGACTTCAGTAGTTAATTTCTCATTTTTAGCTGTATTATATAAATTTCAATAGTCTGGATAACAAGACCTAAATAAGTGGTGGAAGTGAGATGATAAAAATAAAAAACATAAAACGTTCCAAAGTTGTTTCTTTAAAATGCTAAGGTACTCATGTATAACATCATCTCTGAAATAATGCTAAAACATGAAACTAACATGTCAATTTTAAAACAATAAACATAGCCCTAGCCAGCATTGCTCAGTGATTAGAGCGCCGACCCTCACACTGGAGGGTCTCAGGTTTGATTCCTGGTCAAGGGCAAGTACCTGGGCTGCAGGTTCGATCCCGATCCACGTGTCCCTCTCATATTGAGATCTCTCCTCCCCCCAACTTTTTCTCCCCCTCCCCTTTCCCTTTCCCTCCCTGAAAATCAATGGAAAAAAAATCCTCGGGTGAGGATTAACAAACAAACAAACAAACAAAATAAAACTACCGTATTTGCCGGCGTATAAGACGACTGGGCGTATAAGACGACCCCCTAACATTTCCACTCAAAATACAGAGTTTGTTATATACTCGCCGTATAAGACTACCCCCTCTTCCGCACACCTTCCACACACCAAATAAAAGGTAAAACAATATCAGATTTGATTTTAACATTTTAATTTATATTCAAATGCTTATGACATGCAGGAAAACTGTCACAAGGCTGTATGTAATCAAACATATACATAAAACAGTGCAAGTTTATTACCGGTAAACATACCGGTAATTCACTAAAGAAAACACACTCTATAGACTGGTACCGTAGATGCTTCTCAGGAACACAGGCAAGCAGCCCACAACCTAGAGGGACTGTCAATGATAGAAGAAAGAT